CAGCTACAGTTTTCCTGCTTTCAGCTGCATTCAACTAGGCCAGAAATTTAAGCGTTCTGAGTTTTGACATTCTTGGCAATGAAATCACAAGGGCAAAGACGTAAATCGTTTCAAATCAAAGGAATTTGGAAAACAGATGAGAAGAGTAAGCAAAAACACAGAGAGCTGGAATGTCATTATCTGAAGCAGTTGTCCACTTTTAAGTAAATAGCCACTTCCAAACACTGACATTGCTTTTTGGTTGTGTGTTTGGTTGTATGATTGCAGAAGTTGCCTTTTATTGTAACACCCCACCACCACCACCACCACCATTGTTTCTTTAATTTCCTCCAGTCACTTTATGAGGCTTATTCAATCCAGGTTTACTCTGGCTCAAGAGGGAGATACCAAGTCCTCATGAAGGTTTGCAGAAATATAGCAATATTTAGAAGCAACCTAAGAAAGGAACTAAAAATAGTGGAGTGTGGAATCAGCAAAACCTGAATAGACAAAAAAGTATAATCCCACTTAATATTATTTTCCTGGAATATCTCTTATTGCCTCCCATAGCACACTTAGGAGTATTTGATTGTGCAAACCAAGGCCTTGTCACTCCTGATTACTTTCTAATATCTTTAAAAAAAAATGCTGCTAACCATTCTGTTTTTATGAGACAAAATAGTCCTATACAGCCAAAAAAGGCAAAATGCTTTAAGCATGTTAGGAAATGCTAACTAATGCTTGCAAAACCTTTACATGCAGCTGGTATGCAAACAAGCACACTCTTTAGCCCTGCTTTGAAGTACATTTCAGCTGATAATCCCTAAAGAATGAAAAATCGGGATTCCTTATACATATTTACAAACCCTGCAACATCCTGCTATTACAGCCTCACACAGCTATAAACAATATATTAAAATGCATTTCTTTTCATTAAATACATAGAGTTCTAGGAGCATATTGTTTGACAATTAAATGCATTGCAACTGGAAATCACCCTTTTCCAATCATTGTGGTTCCAGACTTCAAAGTATAACTCTTGCTGACAACATAATAAATTCTTCTGGTAAAACATGCAAAGTTAGTCAATAAATGCAACTGACAAATGAGAGTTCGGCAAGCAGTTACAGTATATTTGAATAAGTACATCCTATATCCCAGAAGTTGTAACATTAGAATTGTAGGCATCTTAAAATGAGATGAGAACTTGCTTGTACATTCCAAGAAAAAAGTGTCAACCTAAATCACAGCTAACTCCTAGCAGATGAATGTATAAGCTTTACTTGCTGTCCATTATTCTTCTGAACTGACCTTCTTTATTGGCTTTCTGAAAAATAAAATCGGAAAAATAAAATTAGATCGGAAGTATTTTATTTATTTGTTTGTTTGTTTGTTCCAGCTATATTCCACCTTACTACTGAAATGAATTGTCTATGTCAGTAATGGCTAACCTTTTCTGGACCGAGTGCCCAAAGCGCGCACATGTGCCCAAATCCCCAAAATGCAATGCACAACCCCCGCACATGTGCCCTGCCCCCCATGCATGCACACACCCCTCTGCATGTGCCCCCCCCCCCCGCATGTGCACAAGCCCCCCCCCCCCCCACCCCGCCCCCACGCATGCGTGGCACAGACCCGAAGACCAACTGGATGGTGGGTGGCCCATGCGCATGCGCAGCAGAGCTGAACTGGGGCGACCACTCACATGCCCGCAGAGGAAGTGCTGCGTGCCGCCTCTGGACATGTGCCATAGGTTCGCCATAATAGGTCTAGGTGGATATCTATAATTGAAATTCAGAAACAACTGCTTTGTTTAGAAAAGTAACACAAAACATAATAAACATTAAAAGCCTAATGAGTGTGATGGAATGTGCACCTGTGGCAGCAGAGAGGGAAGATTTTATCAACTCAGCTTTACCAGTAATAGCCCCCATTCAAGAGACTTTGGAACCCCAAGCTGGATAGAGGAGAGAGAAGAGGATCATGGTGGCCACACCTTAGAATCTTTGAGGATATAGCTAGTAGTTTAGAAAGTTAGAGCTTTAGTTTGGCAAGATTATGTCCATTAGTCACAAGAAAATAGAGGATTGGACTTGCTTAGATCTCTCTGTCTCGTCTTTGGGCTTGAGCCTGAAATTGAGAGATGCGTTTTTAAAAGCCAAGTGTCAAGAATTGTCAATTCCTCACATGGAACAGCCTGGAAATGAAACAAGAAAAGTCCCTCTCCTGCACACTTAATAACTGATAAACAAGATCCCTTTAGGAAGTCCTCTCAGGTATATTTTAAAGACTGGAAATGTATGTTATGAGAGTGACAGTGCACAGATAGTCAGGTTCAAAACTGTCTAAACTTATAAAAGTTGAGGATCTCTACAATAAATTCATGGTAGCAAATTTGTTCCAAATTATTGTTTTGTAATTTTACACTACTTAGAGAACATCGTCATTCATTCTCTGTCTGTAGCCATGTAAAGCTGTGTATGAGAATAATGTATTATTAGGCAACTAACCCAGAAGAGGATATCTTATCTAGCATATCAAATATGTAGAGAAATTGTAAAAAATAGCACCCAATTTCTTAATTAGAAGTGTAGATTGCTATTGCAGGAATACTTGTAAATTGAAGTTGGTAGAACAAGAGACATTTGCTGTATTTCTTAAATGTATATTTCTTACTGAATGATTGATTGACCATATGATTATAGTAAGATTTCTAATGCAAAAAAATTAGAAGATTACTATATGATGAAGAGGGGAAAAAAGTAACTGAATGCAGTTTTACATGCAAAATATCAGTTTACATCCTTGGCATATTTATTTTTAAAAGTATCAAAGATAGGGCCAATGTATGGTAATATTATGAACTGCATATACCCTGTTTCCCCAAAAATAAGACATCCCCTGATAATAAGCCCAATCGGGCTTTTGAGCACATGTGTTAAAATAAGACTCCCCCTGAAAATAAGCCCTCCCTGAAAATATTTAAATGCAGAACTGGAAATCAGGTAAGACGGCAAGAGGATCCCCATCTTGCTCCACGCACCCCAAAATAGTAAAACCTCCCCCAAAATAAGGCCAAGCGCTTATTTCAGGGTTCAAAAAAATATAAAACAGGGTCTTATTTTCAAGGAAACACAGTATATATTATGCATACTGAGTAGTCTATGTATTCTGAAACTTAATTTCCAATATCCCTAGCCAGCACAGCGTAGGATGCTGTTCAGGGACTTATGGAGAAGAGTTCTGAGACCATAAAGAATGAACAATTCCAAACTTAACAGAAAAATCCTTTATGGCACCTGGTGATAAAGGAAAAATCTTGTTTCCATGAACTGTATATTCTCTCCATCAGATTACCATATACACACTCACATATATATACACCCATCTGCATATAAGCTGATCCAGAAATTTTCAACCAAAATACCAAAAAAATGTGCCATGCATAGGTAAGCGGATCATTTTTCATGCAATTTTGTTTGAAATTTTCAGGTAAGATTATTTATGGATGCCTTTATCCACATGTGTACATGGAAAATACAGGCACTTTGAAAAGGTATTACTATATGTACTGGCAGATAAGCCCATCTGTGGATAAGCTGAATCCCATTTTTTAGGTTTCGGCATCTAAAATTCTTACCTATAAGGAACGTTGAGTTAAAGACATTCATGTACAAGGCTGCTATTCCACAGCACTTAAGAAGGCTGTGCGAAGCTGACTCAGCTGTGCACAAGGTTAAGCCAAGTCTGTTTCATCCAGGTCACCAAAATGCCAGAGCCCTGTCAACTGCCCCACTTTGCCCATTGGGTCATGCAACATGGAGCAGCTGAGGAAAGGGTGAGAAATCCATCCTCTCCATTAGAAATCTCACTGCCAAGACCAGCAGCAAGAACATGCTTTCAAATGTTGCTGTAATGGCCAAGCCACAGGGAATTGGGTATCTGCTCAGGCAAAGGGCTGGCAATGAAACCTTACCAGGAGTTTCCTGAGAACATCCCAGGGGTTTATGGAAGAGGGCGGGAAGACCATATTCCAAATGCAACTTCTGACCTAGTTAATCTAATCTGGTGGTGTTAGAACTATCAATATGGTAACTTGACTACACTAGTGTCTTACTACTAGACTACGTATTTCACAAGAAAATACTTAGAAAATAAACTGTCTAGAAAATAAACTTTTTTATTTTCTTCTGGTTATTGCTATTATTGCCTAGTATTAGCCAAAAGACAAAAATATTATTTATCTTCAGGTTTTATTTCACTAGTTTTAAATCAGTATTGCAATTGTTGTTAACATACATCCTTGAGAATTTTCCAGCCAATGTAATAGTTCAGTTTAAAAACATTATTCTAGGATCTGCAAAAATATTTTATTTTCAAGTTTCTTAATAATCCATGTACTGCATTCCAAAACATTATTTAGGAATAAAAATATGCCATGCTGACTTGCGGGTATTCTTGAGAAACCAAACAGCAGCACCGGAATAATGATAAATCATGCCACTAGCTGGTGCTGTTGTTACATTAAACGACATTGTGACTAGAAACTGATGCAATGTGTGTGTTGGTCACCGGCTGTAATGTGTTCCTGCCCACAGCAATCCTCTGGATTAAACCTGAACTGTGGCCCAGGAAATCATTTAACATGAATAACCTTGGAAGCTATTTTGGCCATTTTTCTTTTTCTAAGAATATGTTCTTCCCGCTACATAAATCTCTGAATTTTGTTGTGCAATGTGAACAAGATAGTTGCCTCTATAATTAATTACAGCCGAAAATAGAAACAGAAATACAATAAAATAAATAAACGGACAGCCCAAATTCTGGCATGTTATAGCTTCACTTAGAAATATGTGTGAGCAGACAGGACCTTGAAGTTTATGGGGCTTTTGGCCTCAACGCTGGCTTCTTGGCCAATGACAAACTATGGCAACGAAGGAGTTCGGGATCCATGTAATTCTAAAGCTAAACATGAAACATCGCGTCTTCCCATCTTGTCTTAAAACATCAACAGAGAACTATTTTTGTGCAATAAGATTTATTATTTCTTTCACATATTGGTCTAGGAGAGATTGGCAATATAACTTCATCAAATGGGGCAAACAGACTAATATAAATACAGTGAAAACTACAGGATGCACATTTCAATGCACTCCTGACAAGTAGCTTGTTTTCCATCGGTTTCCTTGATGCTTACAAAATGCACTTTTCATACAGAAAGTATAACTGAATCATAAAATTACACATTAGAACAAAAGGCTGTAGTCCTACAGATCTTTACAGGAAAGCCACCTCCACCAAAACTCAAGAGGGTTTATTTTAGAGGAAAGATGCTTAGGTTAAACATTGTGGATGTGAAATATTTTAGAGTTCTTCATTATGAAATTTAACCTAAACAGCACATCCTGCCAATTCTAAAAAAAGCACTTTTCCTCCCCTAAAACTGTTACAGCGGGTGATCCCACCGATGAAAACTAAAAGTTGAAAACGAAATTTTGGGAATTAAAAAAATAATGCCCATAAGCAATATAATCTATGTCTATACATATAATATAAAAATATCTCTGTCATTAAAAAGAATACAAGAACAGAACACCACTTGTTTAAATAGGATTGATTTCTCTCATCGGCAATCACTCACTCACTCATCCTTACTTGATCGCAGCCAGAAATCACCTCACACACATTATAGTCCATTGCACTTTGCCAGGCCAGATCATTCAAGTATCAAGACGCCCCTCCTGAGAGAAGGACCTGCCAATTCCATGCCATGTGGGGGGAAAAGGGAGGGCAGTCACCCCGAAGTAGAGAAGAGCCAGCCACCAGCAGCACCATCACCACCTAACTTGACGAAAAGAGTGCCTCTGTAGCTTCCATCCAGTCTTTATTCCACAAGATACTTAGGGAGGGGTGCAAAGTTTGGTCACCTGTTCCTGCCGTAGCCTAAAGCCTGAGTCCTTGGAGGGCATTTGCCCGTTCCCCCTTTTCGCCATCAGGGGGCTGCAGCAACTCTTTTTATCCTCTCCAAGTTTGGGAGCACATAGATTTGCATCAAAGTGGACTCCAACTCAATCAAACTGGCCGTGAACTCCTACCCTTGGACCAAGAAAGCGAAAGAGCGCCGCCTGCGCCCATAGCCTGATATGGTGAGCTTCTTGGGAGGAGCAGAGAGGTCCTTGGAACTGTCAGTCCATTGGTTGAGCCGCTTGACTAAGTCCTGAGTGACGCATATCGACAATTTACAAGCCGGTTCTCTCTTCACACGGATGCGTCTGCTCTCCAGGCTGAGACAGAGAAAAAGAAAAGTGATACAAGAAGTCGTGAGTGAAGGATGACAGAGAAACCACAACCTGGCAAGACCCAGGGAAGAAACCAAGGTGTAGAGCAGAGCTGCAGCAAACCAAAAAGGGGTTCTTTACTTAAAAGTTTCCACTTCTGAGTCCTTTGGGGAATGAGCCCCTTTCAGCTTTAGGCACTTTGGCACCTGCAGACCTGACATTTATCTTCTTAACAGACTTGACTTCAACGTGCCAGAGGAGCCCACCTTCAACCATCACGGGGAGGCATCTCTAAGGGTGTGTGTGTGTGTGTGCCTCCCTTGCTGGAGCCAAGCCGAACTCTGGCTCCTTTGTTGCTCTCTCCTTTCTTGCTCAAACATCCCACCATTCCATTTCCCCCCACCTCCTTTGCCAGCAGATGCTCTGACCGTCACAACAGTTAACATTCAGGTGAGAAGACTTAATTACCTGGGCTGCTGCAGGATGTCTTTCACATCCTGGGTGCGGATGAAAGAATGCACCCTTGGATCAGCCACTTGCTTTGGCAGGTTCCAATGCAAGCTTTCAGCAGCCACCCGAGCTGGCAGGTCCCGCCTGACTCGGCTCAGCAACTTTGTGGTCCACCTGGATAATGAGGCAAAAGAGGAAAAACCGATAAAACGTTGAGTTATGTTGGTGGTGTAGAACTAGCAAGTTGCCCTTCCTTAGAGAAAGGAGTGATTTGTTGAAGGACAGTCTGCCTTTGACCGGAGGAAGAAGAGGTGACAAGGGGGACCCAGAGTCCTTCTTCAATGAAACCTAAAGACCCCCTGCTTAGTCCCCAAACTTTGAAAGAACAACCACCGGTGGGAAGATCCTATACAGGCAGACTGTCTTTCTCTATCACCAATCTTAGCCGCAAGTCTTAAGTGCTGTTGGTGCCTACTTACTTCCTTTTGAAGTTTGATGCAATATCCAGCTTGGTTGCATCTACTCCGAAGAACAACACCGAACCCAGGTAGAGAAGGGTAAGCGAAACGGCTTTCATCTTGTCTGGGGAGAGAAGGGCAAAGGGTCAACACAAGACTGATCTTCTCCAAGAGGGGGGGGGGAAGAGTTTCTTGGCAGCTCTGCGCACCCAGAGGCTCCCTCCCTCCTCTTCTCCTTCTCTTGTCTTCTCTCATTCTCCCTATTCCTAAGCCAGTGAGGGACCTTTTCCAGGCAACACTAAAAGTCCGCTTAATCAAGATCAATACCCAGCGTCCAGGGCTCCCATCTGACACACTTTCGGTTTGCTTAGAAAGGCTGAAGGCTGAAGCCACCGCCGTCGCCCCCCTCCCCTCCAAAAAAATCCCAGGTAAAAGCATTTTAAAGACGCGCTCCTGTTGCCTATGGCTGCTTTTCCCCTCTCCCACTTTGCACAACGCGACTGAATTCTGACCATCGCTGCTTTTGAACTTCTAGAGGAAGCCCCGATCCAAGGACCGGCAGCCTCGAGCAAGTGTCTCTCGCCCGCTTTCAGACCCGCCGTCGCCACCTGCACACGCGCTCCGGTTGGAAGACTCCCTTTCTCCCTTTCCCGCCGCCCCCCCAACTCCCCCTCGCCTTAAATTCCCATTTAAGAAGGAAGAAAAAAATGCAGACCTGATAACGAGGATAATCCAACCGAGGGTTCCCCACAAATCCTCCTGTAACGTAAATGCAAAAAAATATATATATATATAAAACCCCGGCACAGCTGCTCAGCTCCGCGTCTACCTCGCTTGCGCCACTGAAGTTACCACTGGCTCTCCACGAGCCGCTCGCCCTTTTTATAGAGCAGCAGCGGGGGGAAGGGGGGGGGGGGGGGGAGAGGGGGGGGGGCCATTTACAAGGGTCACGGGGGAGGGGGGGGGGGGGGGGCAGGCTGTTGAAAAATAGGCAGTATTTTGATTTAACTCCCTTTGAAATGAGATCTAATGGACCCGGGGAAAGTCAGGAAACTTCCAGCGCTTCCCTCTTTAAGGAGAGCCTGCCTAACTTGAACTATATAGGTAAATCTGGTCCGGGCAGATCAGATTTTTTTTTTTTTTTTTTTTTGGTTAAGGACGATTCAGCTCCTGGAGAAGCGGCCGGGTTTTTCCGCCGCGGACCCTCCAGGACTTGGGATTTCAGAATTTAAACGGCCGGGGTGGCTCGAAACGTGCCACTGCTAACAGCTCTTCCTTTGCAGCTAGCAGCGTCCCTCTCGTTTGGAAAATATTGCGGGAAATTGCATTTGCTTATCAACCCAAGAGTTGACTGGGGGCAAAGCGTTCCTTGGATGGGGTTACACGTTTTCACTCGGAAAGGAGAAAAAGCTTTTTCAGCAAAAAAAAACAACAACCCATTTCAAGAGAAAGGCTCACGCGCACCCGAGAAGGGCGCGCGGCAGTTGTTGCAACAAACCTTAAAAGCTTAGGAATTGAAAAAAAAAAAGGAAGGGGGGGGGGGGCAAGGGCTGAGTGTGTACGTGCGCGTGTAGGCGCACACGAGTGTGTGAGCGTATATGTGTGTTAATGTATGTAAGAAGCGTGCACCAATTGATTTATGCTGGGCAGGAGCTGCACCGCGAGGAATCCAGAGCGCGTTACTCAGCTGCATGTGAGCTTTCCTTCAACCTCTATCTCTGCACCTCCTTCGCCCGCCCGGCGGGATCTCTTTTCCAGCCGCCAGCTTACGTTCTTTCGCACACGTAGCCTCGCCGGAGCAGCCTCTCCGCCAGCTGGCTCTCCTCCTGGGAACGTGCAAAGCTATGCAAATCAGAGGAGCCGGTGGCTTCTCTCTGGCTCCCGTCCCTCCCTCCGCCCATCCCCCCAGTTTTCCAGGACTTTGCAAAGAACCGAAAATAGATTTAAAATTCCCGGGGACTTTTTCTTGCTTGCTTTCTTCCCCCCCCCCCCTCGAGATCGCTCTTGGGCTGGCTTGCGAAAAGGTAGCCGCGCGCGGAGGGGAGAGCCGGTTGCCGATCTGGTGCCGGGAACGGAGGATTTTCAGGCGCGGGGCTTGCCTTGACTGCCGAGTGGGTGACTCGGGCCGAGAAGGGAGGGCGTCCCATTGGCAAGCAGCCTTCGGGGAGGAATCCTGAAACCGCAGGAATACGCTCGTGCGGTATCCGCTGACCGCTCGCCGATTTCGGAATCTGAGTTCCTCCTGGAAGGGGTTACGTTTGCTTGCCCCAACCTGAATCAATCCCACTCCCCACCACCACCACGTTTCTGGGAATCTGCAAAACTACGGTATCTACTGATACTACTGACCTACTGATTTTATATTGGTTTTAAAATTGAGACCGGTTTTAATTGAAATGTTTTAAATTGCGGGCCAAGCTTTATTTAATTATTTTAAAACTGTTTTAACTTTTGTGTACAAATGTTTTATTTTTGGCTGTTCACCGCCCTGAGTCCGAAAGGAGAAAGGCGGTATAGAAATGTAAATAATAAATAAATAAATAAAATAAAAGAGGTGGCTTTACTTGGCGCTTAAGAGGTTGCCCGGATCGGATCACTGGAGTTTGTAAGGGATTGTAAATTCGCAAAGGATTGTTTTGCTGGGCCAACGCAGCCGAATGGTAGTTTATTCAATAGAGGTTAAATCATTCTTGCCTTCCTGCCGGCGTCAGTCAAGCCTAGGAGAGGTGACCGCATTGCAAAGTTTCAAGCAGGGTTTTCGCTTAGCTGCAGTCTAAAGTTTTTAGGACTGAGACTGGTTCTTGCAAAGCAGCTTTTGATCACTTAACTTTGGATTTCCAGACATACAAACAATAAGATAGACAGGCGGACAGACAGAGATAGAGATAACCTTTATTGTCACATATTGACAGACAGACACACACACACTATGGGGTCCCCCTCCCCAGAGTGTGTAGGTGTGTAGGTGCTCTCCCCCTGAGCACCTACACACATTTGTCCCTCCCCAAATCCCCAAGGTGGGTGTGTATATGTCAGTGATGGTGAACCTTTTCAGCACCGAGTGCCCAACGCGTGTGCGAGTGCGCCAGAGTCCCGGCTGGCTAGTGCACATGTGCCACCCGGCCACCTGGTCTTCGGGTTTTCAGGGCTCTGGCATGCATAAAGATCAGCTGGCTGGCGTGCATGCATGTGCCGGAAAACAGAAGAGCAGCTGGTGATGGCGCACGTGCCCACAGAGAGGGCTCTGCGTGCCACCTGTGGCACGCGTGCCATAGGTTCGCCATCATGGGTATATGTGTTCCAGAGCGAGATGATCAAAGAACCTCAGGTGTATAGGCCAGGAATATATATTCCCAGCAGGGTCACCCAAGGCGAGAAGGTCATTCCCACTGTCCAGCTAAAGCAAGCAGACATCTATATTGGGCTGCAGTGATGTAGGAAGATGCTGGAGGCAGGCAATTACTTTATTAGATCTTTATTAGATCTCCGTGCCTTCTGCCGTGCCCTTAAAACTTTCCTTTTCCAACAAGCCGGGCTGGCCTAACAATGCCTTTTAAATGATTTTAAATTTGTATGTTTTTTAAATTTTTGGCCAAATTGAGATACTTCCTTTTAATCTGTTCTTAATGTTTATATTATGTGTTTTTATCTGGCTGTACACCGCCCTGAGTTCCCAGGAAGAAGGGCAGTATATAAATTCGAAGTAAAATAAAATAAAATAAAATTGACAATGGCAAAGGCATCACCTTATCCCTGTGATGGCGAACCTATGGCACAGGTCGCACACGGAGCCATATCTGTGGGCACGCAAGCGTTGCCCTACCTCAGTCCAGCACGCATGTGCACGCTGGCCAGCTGATTTTCGGGCCTTCCGGGCCCACTGGAAGTCGGGAAACGGGCTGTTTCTGGGCCTCCGGGGGGCGGGGGGAGGCTGTTTTTGCCCTAGAAAGGCTCTGGAGCCTGGGGAGGGCAAAAAAATGGGCCTACTGGGCCCACCGTGCCATCGCGTGCCAAAAGCGGAGGGAGAGTGTGGGGGTGGTCATGCATGCATGTGTGGAGGGACGGGGCGTACTAAATTATGCGTGTGGGCATGCGCAATCCCCCCCACTACCCCCGCTTTTGGCACACAATGGCAAAAAGGTTAGCCATCATTGCCTTATACTGTGTGGGAGAAGACAGTGGGAAACCACTCCTGATTTTTACTAAGAAAACCATAGGAATACAGGTGGTTCTCAACTTGCAACAGTACATTTAATGACTGTTCAAAGTTACATCACTGAAAAAAGTGACCATTTGTCACTTGACCGTTGCAGCATCCCCATGGTCATGTGATCAAAATTCAGATGCTTGGCAACTGACTCATATTTATGACGGTTGCAGTGGCCTGGGATCATGTGATCATCTTTTGCGACCTGACAGCAAAGTCAATGGTTAATCCAGACTCATTTAACAAGCATGTTACTAATTTAACAATTGCAGTGATTCGTTTAACAACCGTGGCAAGAAAGATCGTAAAATAGAGTAAAACTCACTTAACAAATGTCTCGCTTAGCCACATACATTTTGGACTCAATTGTGGTCGTAAATTGGGACTACCTGTAGAAGCTATAAAATGATTGATGATATCATGCCAGGTGATGGTCCCCTTAGGTCGGAGAGCACTCAACATCAATGAGCATCAGTTTGGTCTAGTGGAGGGATGGGCAATTAATTTTTCCAAGGGACCATGTGAGAAACTGGAACTGATGTGAATGGCCCCCATGCTCCCCACTCCTGATGCTGCACTGATACACACTGCAGGCCAGACAGGGATACCTGAAGGGTTGGATATGACCCATAGGCTATAAAAGCCCAGGTCTGGTCTAGTAGTTAAGGCTGTCAGCACTTCAACCTGCATTTACTCTAGTGCTGACATAAGGAGAAGGGGGGCAGCTGGCAAGAGGACGCTTGACTTCTTACCTACTTATTTTCCCTGAAGATAATGTCCCCTAGGAGATGAGATGGGAGGGGGGACATTCCTGGGAGCTGAAGTACTAGATATGGGGAGAGTGATTTGGAAGAGGGCCAATGAGATGCCGAGAATTGGGGAACGGAAAGGGAAGGTTTGGGGACAGGAAGTCAGTGTTGGCTACGCCACAATTGGGGACAGGTCGTCGTGCTTAATAAAATGAAAGATTTCTTCAAAGATTACTTGTTTGGAAATGCAATTTATTTTAATTAAGACAACATCGAAACCTGACAAAGGCACTAGGTCAGAAGCCAGGAGACTATGAGTTCTAGTCTTGCCTTATGCATGAAAGATGGTGGGGACTTTGGCCAGTCACTCATTCTCAGCCCAATCCACTTCACAAGGTTCTTATTGTGGGGAAAATAGGAGGAAGGAGTATTGTGTGTGCCTTGGGTTATTTATGAAAACAATATAGGATATAAATAAATAAATATTCTACTGAAGAAGAACTGAGGATCCTCCAGGGTACCAATGGTGTTTATGACATGGCCAGATTAAAGTCTTTAGGATGTCTGGTTGCTGATTGTGCCATATAGAAAAACAAAAAGCTGCAAAAGTAGAATCACAATACGAATATTGAATGTAAGAATGTAAGCATGAGCATGGGAACACTCAACGTAGTGAAAGATGAAACGAACTGATAATTGACATTGCAAATTGAGATGGACTGGATACTTCCAATGAGAAGATACCACCATTTATTACGTAGGACTTGAAAAAACTACACAGAACAGCTTTTATAATTAGGAAGAATATAGTAAGAAAAGTGAACAAATAATATCAGTTAGATCACACGGAAAACTCTTTTAATATGATGATCAAATTTGTGCTCTA